TACATGAAAATAGAAAAAATAAAGTAAATAAAGTTAATAAAGTAAATAAAGTAAATAAAGTTAATAAAGTAAATAAAATTAAATATTACTCATACAACAAACGAAAATTAAATATAGGCTTACCATATAACACAACGGCTTGTTTCCTATAAATTAATGTATTATTACTTATAAAAAAAACATAATATAACAATAATAAAATAAATAACGATTAAAACATACAGATGGACATTATAAGCAGTTGGAATGGGCGTATTTCTAATTCTTTCCAGATTACCCAAATTATCGATTAAGGAATTTAAATTTGAGACAACTGATCCAAATTTACCCGCATCCAATTTGCCATCACGACTTTGTTTTTCAAGATACATATTCAAATGAAATATAATTTCCTAAATTTCAGGAAAAAAATATTTTTAAAATTTTGCAAAAAGTGTATAATAATTAAAAACAAATGAAAAATAACCAAAGGAAGACTCATGCTCGCATCTACATCATCATAATCGGTGTAATTGCCTTCACCATATAACCTTTTCTTATCTTCTTCAGACAGATTTTTCAAACTTTGTCGAAGTCGGAAATAAGTAGTAGGTGGAACTCTACTGCAAAATGGTCGACTCGTCGATGTCACTTGTGGAATATTAATTGCATGAGATTTTTCTTCCTGATCCTGATCAGCTTCTTCGATGGTAGGTTCAGTCAGTGCGGCGCTACCCTCATAATATGTCTTCTGGAATCCTTCAGGAAGAAGATCATCCAAGTCATCCCACTGAGTGCCGAATTCTAATCGAACATGATGCTTAACGGCAACAACATATGCCAACAATAATTTGACATATATTTCTTTACGAATACGATCTCTTTTATCATGTGCTTCGACACCTATCCAAAGTGCTCGTGTACAATTTCTGATGTGTGTGCTACATATGCAAATTATACATTCGTGAAATAATAAAATTTTAATGTACTAATAATACTAGTTTCACTGAAATTTGCTGTTAATACTAACCACATGCAGCAAAATAATTTTCGTCCTTCATTATATCGATCATAAGCATTGTTGGTACGAAAAGCCAGAAGGAGACCAACCACCACAGCAATGGATCCGGCCACATATTCG